GTATAAAATTTTCTCGCTAGCATCTATAGTTAACGAGTAATTTGCAAAAAACTGTTTTTCCGTTTTTCGTCAATAACTCGTTAAATATTAATGCTAGCGAAAAAAATTTATACAGAAATTGTAGATCTCGTCGTCCTCTACAAGAAAGGTCCTATGCAATTTTCCCGTATCTCCAAGGGTTTAGGAGTTATTGAGGAAAAACGAAATTTTTTTCCAAAAGTTCGCCATTTCGACGCTGGAATGGTCGGATTTTATCAACATCAATGAAATGCCAAATAATCATACTTAACTCATTAAATATCGAAATTGAAAGATAAGTGCACTATTTTTAATGATAGGAAATGCGTTTTACTAAGGTACATAAACTTTTGGGATTGACTGTATAGCCAATACATCCCTAACTACTGGAAACGAGTTGCAGATGTAGTCGAAATATAATAAAAATGTCGTCATCGAAGGCATCGTTTTGTTTCAACAATTATTCTGCTGATTATTCGCATACTATAATTTGCTAGCTTTTCTAGCTTATCCCGTATTGTCCAGTACTATTTGCTACGGAATTAGCAAAGCATTTAAGCATGCGCTTCTAAGTCTTTAATTCCCTTCTTTTTTTTTTAACACCGTCGAACCTGACAAGATCGGCATTCATTAGAGGCATGAGTCTGCGTGTCTTCCGCGGAACGTCCGATTAGCCTCGTGCGCGAATCACGCGGCCCGATCGTACACGCTGTACCCACGCGAAGGCCCGTCTACGTCCAGTACACGTGTTAACACCGACGCCGTGTTCCAGACGGTAGAGCGAAGACGAAGGTACCGGGCCGATCGTCAAGATGAGTCCGCCACGTAGCTCCGAAGTCGCGTCACGCGCAATTAATTTCACACGAGATCCGCGACCGCCGCATTTGCATGTCCGATTGGCCGTAACGCTGAATTAAAGATGCTATCTAAGCCGGCCTCTCAGACCTATTACAATATTAAATGCCTCGCCGGCTTTCAATGACCGGGACCGTGGCCCGCGAAGGAAAATCTCGCGTGCTTCAGATATTAGATTGCGCTTCTCGGCCGCGGCACCGAAGGCGTGTACACCGAAGCGAAGGTGCAGCGAACCTTTCAACGGGACGAGAGTTGCACCTTTCACGGTGATAGCAGAACTCCCGCAGGACGTTTACACACGTTTGACATTTATCTCGTTACTTTTTTCCTTACTCAGAAATGGTTATTAGGGTAAACGTGCAAAGTGATTATACCCGGACGCACCTCCTTTAATAACATGAACTTCTACACATTTTCATACGTGAACTTCTCCGTCAGATTTTTACTCGAGATAAAACATTTATCGTGTCTCTGTAAAAAAAAATTCTATAACACTGAAATATGATTTGATCGAACTTTTAATACTCTGAATAATTTTATACGCTACGCAGCGTCGAATAATATTCGGATAATTAGGAAATCCGCAGTCTATTGATTGATACAAACACATCTCACATCTTCGCAGTAATAAATTAAAATCATAACGTTTCACGTTCATATGGTGCAAGGTACTAATGATACCAATAAATGTTCATGTTCCGTTAATATGTTTGCATTTATTAATGCTTTTACTTGCGCGAGAATAATTACTGTTGTCACGGTACATATGTTGACAGAATTAATGCATTCGCATGATTGGCTCATATTATTGGCTAATATTAATTTAATTACAAGCAATCAGATTTTTAGAAATAAATCATTTCGTTCTATTTATCATCGAAAAATACAGAGTAGCTAGTAGACACGGTTGATAGTGCTAATAGACTCGACTTAGCCGTACGTATTTAATTATCTTTCGAACCACCTGTGCCCAAATCTGTTCTTGGAACGAGCCAGAGGCCAGTGAGCATAACGAACCGAGCTAAAAGTGTACGCAGCTCAGGCACTCAGTTGTACGTACGTATGTAAATGCATCCGCAGCATACAATACTCGAGTGTCTGCTCGATCATGGAAATTAATTTAAAATGTTATTAACCTCCAGGTACATCAGTTGACATTTGAAATTTTGTACTCATGATGCAACATACGTGTTTAATAAATTTCACATGTTATCATGATAAACGTGAATGAATTTAAACGATACTCATTTTGATATCCCAATTATTATTAGGTAATTGTATGTACAGTGTAGCTCTAATTGCTGGATCAAATTGTGATGTGACTTTTGCTTGACGTGCAGTCGGGATATGCTATACCTTTAACGCATGCCACAATCAGTTGGCTAGAACTAATCCGGTGCCCCAGGTGTCGAGAATTATGCTATCCCTGCCAGCGTCGTTATATAGCCTTCTCTCTCACACACACTCTCTCTCTCTCTCTCTCTCTTTGGTATATTCGAGTTTTACCTTTTTTGAGGCTCCATTTGTATCTGCGTCGCGCACGGACGTTCACGGATGCGGTTCTACCTCGTTCGTCTCTGCCCCTGTTCGATCCGAGACTCTTTTTACGCGAACCTCCCCGGGAATTTCCATTTCTATTTTCTCCGACTGCAT